CAGATCTGAGTTGACTTGCCTTAGCGAAAAATTTTCCTGCAGTGCATGTTTACAAAAGTGTCTTGTATGTATATGTGAATCATCGCTTGCCAACAAAATTTATCGCAAATTAGTTTTGTTGACAATTTTCGATTTGACGGAATAANGTCTTGTATGTATATGTGAATCATCGCTTGCCAACAAAATTTATCGCAAATTAGTTTTGTTGACAATTTTCGATTTGACGGAATAATCATCCGTCAGTCGATGGCTGTTAATTTACTTATTCCATTAACGGTGTAGCAAATGTGGTTCGATAATGTGTGAAATGTGGAGCAAATATTAAAAATTCATGAAGTATAGTAAGTAACATTACATTCTTAACTGCACAATTTCATGTGAGTGTGCAGACTGAGGGACAGCAGTGATAGCGGTGAGAAATTTTAGAAGAGTGCCTACGAGTGTTATCAATTTTTCCAGCTAAATAAATATCATCTTCCGCAAATTTTCTCCCTTCATATCTGGGCATCTTTTTTGTAGTAATTTGCTCACTGCTACATATTAAATTCCTCTCTTATACTAAGTGTAGCTTATGCCGCTTATCAGTTGTTTGTTTTGTTTTTTTTTGTCTTTATTGTTTGGATTACTAATAAGTGCATTCGAGTAAACTATAACACATTTTTTTTTTTTATTTAGCCTTTTTTGTTTATACATATTTCGTCTGAACTAATAACAGTAATACGAGTATGTAGAGCATCTTTTGCACAAATTGCGACATTTGGGCAGTTGTCTCATAGATCTCTGTCTGGTAGCAGGGACTTTTCGTCGCTTTAGCTCGGTCCGAAGCGATCGCGTTTGTGTCGGAAGTAGACGCGGTAGTTGTTTTAGTGTTGCGTTGATTTTTTTTTGCTTGCAACGTTCTTTAAATTCTTTGGAGTCAATAATTTGTGTTAGGTAATTTTAAATTCAGACTTATTTAAATCGTGAACAATGTATCGTGAGTGAAACTGTAATGTAAATAATTGTATCCTTGAGTAGAATTCAAAAATTTCGTACTATTCTGTGGTTTAACAAATCACTTGTGGTAACTGTTACTTTATGGCTTCTCAGTATAAATAATCCTTTTGTATGTATTTACTTAGTTTGAGGTATATAGTGCAGTATATACTCTCTGGAGTTTTGTCCGCATAGCCTCCGTAGTTCACGGCTCCCTATAAAGACGTTAAACGGCGTCAATTCGCAGCTCAGAGGTGGTTAATTGACATCTCCGAGACGGCTGATAACGTAATTACCGCACTTGGCGTACAAAAAAAAAATCGATTTTGACATAGGCTGTGCGGCATGACGCGCCATCCTGCTGAAACCCAACATCATACATGTCCATGTCTTCAATTTCTGGTCACAAAAAATCGTTTGAATGCCTGTATAGCGCAAAAGCAGTCACGAAAAAAAAATTCTCAAAAGCAATGGGATTTTTAAGCCAGTTCAAACTTCCACTTTATCTGTCTAAATTGTATTCTGCCTACCCAAAAATGTTCTAAAAATTCTTATTATAAAGCTTGAGGTTTTGACGCAAATTCATACATATATAGTTTTGACTTGGACAATATTTTTATAGAAAAAATAAATAACAAATTTAACTTCAAAATCATTTATTTGAGTCACTGTATGTATGTATGGGGTATGTGTAAGATGCAATTTTTATTAAGAATAGTAATGTGGGAGACGCGGCGGCCGCTGTAGCTGACTAGTAGGAGATGCGTACTACCACTCCCTGGGCATGGGTTCGATCCCTGGTCCGGGCGACATCAAAATTAGGAAACGATTTTTCTATTAGCGGTAGAAAATCACTAACTTACGAGTGCATTTCTGCTATGAAAAATCTTCTCATAAAATGTATTTGCCATTCGGCAGCAGCGTAAAATTGTAAGTCGCCCCTTTTGTGTAACAACATCAAGACGCACGCCACTAATTGGAGGAGAAACTCGACCAAAGATCTAGCAAAATTGTTAGCACCAAAATAAAGGCTGGTGAATTTATAAAGGCTAACTTTGAAACGTTCTGGTAATCTTACCAGACTCTAAATAGTAATAAAAAAATAATAGTTTAAAGGGTATGTATATATGTGTGCCTGATTACAACAATTTTTGGGGAAGTTAATTGGATATGTATTTAGAAAAACTCTGGAACTTCAAAATATATTTATTTTCGGCGCAGTTTGAGAAGGATGTTAGATATTCATGCGGCTCAGGTATCCATACAAAATTACTTTTTAGAGAGCTAAATGACGAATGGGCTTACGTTTGCATGCAAAGAGCGCATAACTATGTAAGCGCATCTTTGTCTCACAACACCATGCGCTAAACGCAATCTGGCATCTGCATATCTCCGCTTAATCGAATTGCCCGGCGGGCTCGTTATTGCAGCTGCAGGACTCGATGAAGTCAGTTCTTAAATAAAAAGAATCTCTGGCGAATCAGCTACCCAAGGCAGATCAACGGGCCACAGGTGTATCAGGAAGAAGTTTTTACCAGCTAAGAGACATCACAGAAGAAACCTTTGAGAACGAGTCTATGCTATGCGTATGCCCGAGAAATTGCAAAAGTTATGAATTAGCAAGGACAGTTTCGACCACGTCATTCCATGAAAAAACACGGCGGGAATATCAAAAACCTCTTTTAAACGATATTTAGGAGATCAATTGACAATTGAATGGAGAGTTATCTCTTTCGTACTTTTGGGCTTTTGTTACTCCTTCACGCATTAAACCATTGTTGTAGTTGCAATCCCTTCGAGCGGCTGGCGACAAAACTTTTATTTAAACATATTGTCGCATGAAGAAATTATTGTCGTAAGCGCCATTTTGACGATTTTAAGTTTTAGTTACAGTTGTATACATAAAAATAAAATGCTTGGGTCGCTGTTTTGGTTTCCGAGATACCTACTCTCTTACATTTCTCCTATGCCTCCCCTTTACAAAGGAGGGAAAAGTTGCCCACACGAGAAAACGTGCTGAAATGTTATTACCTAAATTGGTAAGCGTCTACCGAGTACTCTTTAAAATCATAAACGGCTGAAAACATTACAACACTTGTTGTTGTCTTAACTGAGAAAATTTACCTACAGAATTTTCGATATACATATTTAGTAATTTTCTAGTTATATTTAATACCTCTACTGTTTTTCATATCTAAAAAACCAACATTCAAATTTGAGGCTGCCTTATCAAAGATGTCTCCAATTTAAAATCTGTAAATTCATAATTTCTGTATATGTAAGTATTTGTAATTTTTCCACCCTGTTACTCTAAGAACGTGAATAAACATATAAAAAGTGAGAGGGCGCACAAAAATATGTAGACAAATTTTATAAGTTTATTAATCAATATGCAAATTCATATAATTCGCACCTCATCAAAGCTATTTGTTGAAAATTATTCGTTCGCAGTCATAAAAACACGCAACCACTAACGCGCTTCAACGCAACACTCGTGCATACGTTCAAGTAAGTAAGTATATATCTGTGGCAATTTATTAAAACATCCTATCTCGAGATATACCGTTTCGCATGTGAAGCAATATTTAATGGGGTACCCAAACAATATTTTAACGATTAGCTAGGCGTAGGTGTAAAGCATTCTAATCTTTTAATAGAAGCTAATAAAAATATAAAATTTTTTATGGGAAACTTTTTATTTTTCAATTCAAAGTCAAACCTTCCAAAGTCACTTAAGTTGTTTTAATGTGATGCTTAAGATATGTAACTACACATGTGCATACATATATTTGTAGGTAACGGGCATGAGTGTCTGTGCGTTCGTTAGCATGTATTGATCCATTAAATTTCAATAAGTCAAAATNACAGATATGTAACTACATATGTGCATATATATATTTGTACGTAACGGGCATGAGTGTTTGTGCGTTCGTTAGCATGTATTGATCCATTAAATTTCAATAAGTCAAAATATTTTTTTATTTCTACACTTTTCGCACACAAGAAAAAAAGAAGAACTGTTAATTGCAAAATTAAATTTGCTTGCAAAATGTATAGACAGGTTTGGAAAAAAAAAAACATTCGCAAAGGCCTTAAGTAATCAAATGACTCTGAAGGGGGAAATCGGTGTTGCGACATTTGACACGGGGCACTTCCGACGCCGTACCGCAAATGCTTGCGGCGACAGCGACAGCGACAGCGACGATGACAGTAACATCGACAATGAGATTCAATTTAAATTATTTAAAAGCGCGAAAATGCGCTACAAGGAAGCAAAATGAAGCCAATTAAGAGGCTAAAGTTGAGGCGCTCATTGAAGGTGGCGAAAAGGTAGGCGATGGATGGAAGTGCAGCTAGCCAGGATTGGCTTTGCTCATTACTGTTGTTGTTGTTGACTTGCTGGCGTCAGCTTGTTAATGCTTGCTGGCCTCACCTTGATTGTTGGCTGTTGCCGATGACTCGGAGTGGCAGGTGCGAAAATTGGCAGCCGGGTAATCAGTGCTTATCAGCAGCTGACTATCTGCTTACGCCAGTCTCAGTCATGTTGAAGCGCCAGCGGGTTGAAGAGCGAGTTGAGAGCGAAAATAATGAAAGGTTACAAGGCTATAGAAAGCAAGTAAATAGTAGGTGAAAGCAGCTCCATTTAAAGGCATATAGCGCTTAGAGCAGTGGTCTGTTGATTTTCGAGCGCAGTGTTGCAGATGCAGTTGCAGTTGGGGAATAGTGGCGCAATTGCAGACGCGAAAGCAAGTGAATGCTCTTGAACGGCTGCTTGCCCCTTGCTGCTTGTTAACAACACTTATAAGCTATTTTAATAATGGCCAAGGGCGACAACAGCGCACAACACTTCCGAGTTGTCCTGTCGCAAAACACCATAGAACACACAATGCGCTAAGGACTCGGCGCGCGCTATGATGGCACACACTGCAATGCAAATGTGCTCCCAATGAAATGTTAAGCTTTTCTTGCCTGTCATTTTTGTTAACATAAAATAAAATTTGTGTTTTTATTTCTTCTTTTTGCAGCATCGGGCACAGCTGCGGGGCGGCGCTTGAATCAGGAATCTCCTCCAACCGAAATGGCACAATATGGCAATACAATGCCTGGCCATACGTTAGATGCACAGAAGGTACCAGACCGCAGTCAAAACTACACAACGGAGGAAATGGGCGAGCCAACCTCATTAAGTGCAACAACTGTTGGCGACGTGAGTGTTGCAGGTGTGACAGCATTTAGCGTTGGAGGTGACGATGGTCCTGGCGGCGATGGAGGACAATCGCATCATGACTACAAAGGCCCCAAAATGTAAGCGTATTTTGTATGCAAAGATTACAAAGAGTTTTCTGCTGTGCAATTAACAGTTGTGACACGCATACACACACATGCATACATACTTTTAAGCATTCAATTCATGGAACTCTATCCGGCTTCAGCGTTTTCATTCAACGCTGCTGTTTTATGGAGACCTTTTGCCTTCTGTTGCATTGCACTTTTATTGTTCGCGTATCTTTAGAAGTTTTCCGGTAACCTTTGCCTTTATTGTATATATATTTTCTTTGCACTGCATTCGTTTGAAAAATGCAAGCCATGCCAATCTACACAGTTATCTGTGGACCATTTGTTGCATTCAGATGTACTTGAATTTTTCATCTCATTACGAATGCAAAATCAAGTAAACACAATGTTAATGTACGCTTAACTTTTTGTTGTTATATTCTGTAAAAATTTAACTTTCTTTCATGTCTATGAAATTTGAATTAAAAATTCATCTGCTTTTATCTCTTCTTTTGTTTTAAACTTAAGTACATATATATATTTTAAATTTGCACCAACTGCGGACTAAGGAAATATGCATGTGGAAAATATTTTTGGCAAGACTTAGTTTAAGGGTTGCGGAATCTTGAAAACAAGTGCTAAACAGAACATAAAAAATAAAATTTTAATCGCTTACTCCTATCAAAATGGGTCTTGTGGTGTAATTTTTAAAAGAAACGCAGTTGGAGGCTTCAGATGCTCTGCAAACATATTAAACAACTAGATTGTATGTAATTTGTTTCAATAAAGCTCCACATACTTAAACTCAGATCAAAAACCTAGGGGATCTTAAGATTTTTTTTAGTCCCCTTAAAAAATTTGCAAACTAAAACTTTCTTCAACCTCTTTCTTTTGATACATTTTCTATTAACTTATACCCTGAACTCATGCCACTTTCAGTTTTAAACGTTTAGTGTAGAAACTAAGCCGCTTGAAAAAACATTTCGTTTGATACCCATATTCTAATAATTAAATAAAATTATTAAATAGTTTGAATTTAATTTTTTAAGCAGGTGGAAACCTGGCTGTGACACATAAATAAAGCCTTTTCAAAACCATTTCGATTGATACCCATATTATAATAATTCATTTAAAACAGCAGCCCTCTTCAAACATCTCAGAGAAATAAGTAATTTAATCGAATGCGAGTTTTCAGACTGGTGGCAGCCTTCTTAAAAATATTTTCAAACTACAACCTTATTATACATCTTTCGTCGGACACCCAAATTTTCTTAATTTATGTAAAAATGGATATTTCAAATGTAGGTTTTACTTTTTGTGTATCTTTTCTCTTTTAACTTTTTTTTTATTGTTTTAAGATGGAGAATTTTTTTTAGATATAATTTTTAGGAACTGGTCTACTTATTTCTTCTTTACATTTTTTTCTGTGTTTTTTTGAGTTTCATTAAATTTAAATTTTGGATTTTATTCTTTAAAAAGGAAAATATTTTTTTCATTTAGTTAAATTTTTAGAAACTCATTTTATTTAATTTAATTTAATTTATTATTAATTTGTTTCAGTAGTACAGAGTAAGACTTATGTCTTAACTCATTTTATATATCTGTTATTTTTATAATTTAAATTCTTTTTCTTTTGTTAATTTAATTAACCTTTAATTTTTGGATTTTATTGTTTTAGCAAGTAATTTTTTAAGCAAAATATAAAACCGATTTCAATTCTCATATAAAAATTTAGATGTACGGTTAATTTCTTCATGATTATTTATTTTATTTCTTTTTTATTTAATTTCTTTTAATATTTAGATTTGGTTTTAAAATTAAAGTTTTTATTTGAATTTTATTTAATTTTTAAATAATATTTTCTTCTTTTTTGATTTAATTTTTCCTTCTTTTACTTTAATTTTTAGATTTAGTATTTTTAAGACGATTTTTTTTATAATTGTATTTAATTTTAAAAATATGTTTATTCATTTCCGCTTCATCTTTATTTATTTAAATTTTTTTAGTTTAATTTTCTGGGATTTATTGGATTTTATTGTTTTAAAAAAGAAAATATATAATTTTAATTTTAAATGCGAATGCTAAGACCTCTTATTTAACAGGTCTTTCAACAGTCATTCGAATTGGCAACTGTCTCACGAAAAACTTTTATCTTTCGAAAGACTGTGGTGAGTTCAAAGATAGTTGCCAGAACTGTTCTGTAAATGTTGAGCTTTTAGTTTGGCGACCAGAATCACAGGCGGTTAGTAATATGTTTAAAGCTATAGTTTTGAGTTCGTGGAACCTGTTGTGAAAAGGTTTCTCTCAAAGATTAGACTGCCCTGTAGGAGAATTATTTGACTAAACCGTGTGCCGAAATATTAGTTTTATTTTGGGAAACCTATGTGTACTGGAATGCAAATCGGGGTAAATAGTGCGTAAAAGATACTTAGCAATTTAGGACGGTGAAAATAGAAAAGAGGTTATGGGAATGTTTCTGTGCTGGCCACACCTGCATATTTATAAAGGCAGGTCTATGTGAGGTACTGCTTCGAAAGTAACTCATCTATAAAAACGTATGGATAAGTTTTAAGGCTACTTCTGGGTTGATCTGTTTGATCTTAATCTTGGAGTTTGAAATTATGGGGTATAGCAAAGTTCTAACTCGAAGCTTGGCTGTATTAATTTAGGATAAGAAAGAAAATAGGACGCACATGTACATATATTCGGTTCTACCTTGGAATTAAATGTGATAAGAAAAAAGTTCTTTGAGTGGAACAGTTTGTTTGATATGTGTATAAAATAATCTGGTTCAAAAAAAACTGCAAAGGACTGGCTCTCTCCAACTTTTTTACCAGCTGATTTATGTAGCAACTTGCGCTAAGAATGTCTCCAAAGTTAAGATAAGGCAAGACACCGACCATACGCGACTTAGAGCAGAATTCCACTAGCCCTTTGGGATCGTCCTCCCTTCGAGAGCCGACTAGAACGTTGTGTTTCATACCTCCACCTAAATACATCGTCTGTATACCGATGGGCCCCACAATGAAACACGGTGTTAGAGCTGGCATTTTCGCTTAAGTAAGAAGACCCAGCCTGACTTTGCAACCAGCCAGAAGTGTTTGCCCTAAAGTGAAAATTTGGTTTGTGTGTTATGGAAATAACATAAAATAAATATTTTATCTTTATTTATTGTGACTTGATAATTTATTTTTAAACATTTAGGAGTGCTAAATTTCATATTTATGCTTCGAAGTACCCGCTTTTGCTTTATTCATCCATATTCAAGAGTAGAGCGCACAAGCTGTACGCGTTATTCATGGTCTAAAATTAAATTTCATACAATCTAGGCGCAAATAGAATTTGCGAATTTTCACTCACCTTTGAGAATATTGGCAAACCTACAATAAAGAAGTTGCCCGCCTTTAGCTGAACTGGTATTTTGAGGAACTCCATGTAGAGGATAATTAATTTGCGCGTTGACACCGAATAATCCTCCCAATTGAAACAGTACAAGGAGTCCAGAAGACGCTCCGATGCCAAAGTCAATTGGTTGCCATAGTAGCAGGGCAAGAATATTTGCAAAGTCGTGACATTAATGAATTGCAGCATTATGAAAAAGTGACCGGGATTGTCATTGAAGCTGAGCTGAAATTCTCAAGAATTTAATTACAAACAAACGCAGCAGATATGGATGAATGTATAAAAATGCTTCAATGGGCAGCTACGCTAAAAAAAAAAAAAATAAAATAAAAAACATTTGTTAAACTTACGGTATGCAAGTAGTAAATGGTGAAGCACAGAACAAAAGCATTCACTATAATTTGTGATAAAACTGGCACTGAGACAAATAACTCACAATCCCTTGTCAAGCTGAAAGGAATGATGGGCATGAAAGAACGATACCCAAACAAAACGTAATCAACGAGAAATGTAACTTCAACAATGTTCACTCACTGCCTCACTCGCTGGTGCAGATGCCAAATGCTACGTAGCTGCCGCACAACGTCCGCTTCGCCCAGCTGACGCATTGCCTCCATGCGTTTGCCTATCAGCTCGTACAGTATGGTCAAATGAAAGATGAAGTAGCACGTCATCATATCCATGGTAATGTTGGTTATACAAGTCAGTGGCATGCCTAGCAGCTCATAGATGTACACGAACCAGCACGTGCGTGGGTTATGCCAATCGTAAACGACATAGTAGGGAAACAAAAGTTCGTAGTTGTAGGGCCGCATCATGGAATACAAGCATGCAGCACACACCACCCCACAACCGCCCATATACATGAGGGCAACGCGCTGAAAAATGCCATGCCTCTGTTGCCAAAAGAAACGCTCGTTGTTGCGCAAACGAAAAACTGGATTCTCGGCAAGTTCCTCGATGAAGGCGTACGTTTGTGTGCGGTAATGCCAAAATGAGTGAAATTTGAAGAGCATTGCCAACTCGGTGATCGTCATTGGTAGCTGATTGGCAGCCTGATCAAGGCTATCAACGGTTAGCAGTTGCAATGTCATAAGCGGTACGAACACAAAAGTGATGGGTCCATGCAACAGGAAAAGATGCCAGCGGCGCAGAAAACGGTAGAATGGATGTACGTTGGTGCCACATGGCCAGTGCCAGAGGCCATCTAATTGCAAAATGCGAATTAATGAGGTAGCGGCTGCAATATTTTCGTTGTGCGGCATCGTACAGATGGGTAGGATTTGTTGAATTTAAACTGAGGCGCAAACTTTTATACTGGCTTTCATATAGAAGGGGGTGGAAGTTATGCAAACGTATGGTAAAAATGCAGTGACAGATGTTTGCAAGCTCAATTATTCGCGCTGTTTTGAATGCACAACACGTGCTTGCCTCATTACGATAATTTGTTTTGAAGTAATTATCATAATTTATAGCAAAATTTAGAAAATTGCATTCACCACAAGTTCCACCATTCCCGCGATCGAAAATTGCTTGTATACTGCGAATGGGCATTTCTAAAGGAAAACTATGTACATATATGTATAATGGGCCAGTATTTCTATTCGAAAGTTTGAGTTCCTACTGTA